AGAGAGAGAGAGAGATGGTGAAAGTAATTATACCTTCCCTAGGAAGAGGGCTCACATCCGTGGATGGAGCCACCATATTCCCACGTGGCCTTTTAGGCCTGGGTACCGGTAAGGGATTCAATGCTGCAGGTGCCAAAGCAGGTTCAATTTTCCATGGAGAAACTCTCTCTGGACGAGGAACAGAAGCAGTTTCATCCCATCGCACCTTAAAATTCAGGACAAAAATCCATTCAGATTTCTTGATGCAAAAAAAAAAAAATTACAAATAGCAAAACTGTTACCCGTGTATGGTATGGTAGCAAGTGCTAACCTTGAGGCATCTCCACTTGGATCCAGGCCATTTATCGGGATCAACATCTCCAATGCCAACAACTGTGCCTGTGAATCTGAAAATATGAAAAGAAAAAATGCCATAAAAAAAAGCACTACAATTAGGAAAAGTACACTATAGTCCAATGACCTACAGAAAACTATAATCCATTGGATTAATGACCGTCCAATTGAACTATGGCTATTGAAGAGTGTGGAACCCCCTAGAACAGTATAGAAGCCTGATCATGGGTCCCACTCTCCATCAACAACCATCATTTCATCGGGAAGTCATGAACCCAATGAGAATGGTTTCCACAGTCATAGACCAGGTTGCCTTTCTCGTAAAAATATTCATAAAGAAAAAGGTAGAAAAGATGAAAGAGAAAGGTTGATGGATATAAATACCTTTGCTCTGGAGCCTCTTCACCTTCAAATCTCATTTTGAACCTCATCCCAATGGAATAGTTCTGTTTTAGAGCCTCCAGATATTGGTTGCATGGAACAATGAACTCAGAAGGGCTTATCCTATATATAAAGAATGAGAGCAGAAGTTAGGATTAAATAATATGTAAGCATTACATAACTAACAGCCTGGCCTCAAGAACAAGGTTTAGTGCATTGATGGCCTCTTTGGATGTATCATTATTACTGATAATTCACTATTTAATTAAATTTAATCCTGAAAATGAATTATCAATTATTTACAGTGTCCGTCTTAAAGTTATCAAAGATAAACTTAAAGGCAATTTTACAAATAAGTTTATCTTTTCAATAGCATTACTTACATTATTCACAGTAATTTGCTGAAAATCACATGCTTTTGGCCAGAAATAGCAAAAAATGCTTGGACTCACTGAAAACGTCTATAAATTGAATAACATTATGCATAATAGAATATATGTCCCAAACAACTAAAAGATTATATTACCCACAGTATAATAGTTTTGGATACAATAGTTCATTTTTTTTGAAGTAAGTTAACGATGAAAGAGAGTTCATTTCCAGACAAAATTAATTGCCACCCAAACAGGCCTTGAGAATTGATGGTTATCAAGTATTGAACGAGATTTTTAGGGAAAACAGGGACCTTTCAAGTTCAAGGGGATAGTTCCCCACCTGGAAGCATCTTAAAGTGTGATTGCCAAAATGTTTTGAGAGAAGACTTATCTTTGATATTTCCCAGAGATCCAAAAACAAAAAAGCTAGCCATATACTGTTGTTCAATGTGCTGTGGCTTGATTTGAGGTCACAACCATCCTATCAAATGATGGACGGTGATGAAAAGAAGATGGGGCCATGGCCAAATATTGGGGTTTGTACCTCTTCTGGCCGGCCCCCACTCTCCATCACTTTTTGCCATTTTAATTGACAGTGATAACTTGTGAACTTCACAGTATCATTTTCTACTGGAAAATGCAATGACTACAAGAAGGTAATGGATACCTAGGTTTGTAATAAACAGTGAACATTGTTCCAGTAGATATGGCATGCATTGCAGTTGCAAGGACTCCAAGATGCATACTATGACTGGATATCACAGACGATGGGACATTGCTCTGCTGTTTCATGGCACGCCTGACCCCGACACGAAGCTCTCCATTTTCACCTCTAGTATGGTACAATAGATCAGATAGTTACCGATAAAAAGCTAGCTTAATCAAAGATGGACGCTGAAAGAAATTCAACATGGAAAACCTGAGAAAAATGAAAGCATCGCCTGCCACTAGCTTTTTGGAGCCAACAAAAACGCTCCAGCCACTCTGGAGAAGGTGCCTCCGGGGTTGACCTGTCATTTATGAAATCATGTGAAAAAATTTAACCAAATCAGAGAAGCTTAACAGACCTCATGCACAAACAATAACCATTTGACTTTTTTCTTCCAAGGGATATTTTATTGAATTCTACAGAAGCAGATAATGCAAGCAAGGATTGCATACAACATGCATGTGAGAATTGAGTTGAGAGCTGAAGAGAAACTTTAACTCAAAAGTACACCAATATTGCTCCATTTTAGTAACATGTTTGCATTTGGTTATGAATAAATTTAATTATGAAGCTTTGTCCAAAAAAAAAACAAAAAGAAAAACTTGAAACTTATAAACAACAGATGGCCCCCAATACTTCCCACATTCTATGTTGAAGCCGAATCCCTATCCAGGCTCAGTTATGCTGGGGATAATTAGGATGTTTGGAACTATTACCCCCCACTGTAACTCACTCTCTGCCATGTAAATCTTGCACAACGTTTTGACCATCAAGTACAGTGCACTATGTTTTCACCATCAAGTAGAGTCACTATTTAAAGATGAGAAGAACATTTGACCATTTTCATTCTTACATTGGAAATGTAATTAAACCAACAGTTTGAAAGGTAGAATTCAGCCAAGCCTGAAGCATTACTAATATTTATACTTCGCTTTCAAGGTCAATCACTCAGCTCAGCCAAGCCCGATGTGTTTTCAAAAAAAGCACCAGCAATTTACGACTTAACAGAGAGTGCAATACAATGACTTCATGCAATGGTTGAGATGTGCAAAGTGAAACTCTTAGAAATACTCTCGCGTTGACTTTGTCTACCCAAAGTTGAAACAACTATCACTCAAACCCCAGCATAGACCAAGATTGCAACTCATTGAAGTAGACAAAAAAAAGAGGAGGAATAAGGGAAACATTTCATCGAGGGGGTATCTACTTGATGCAAATCAACAGCTCCCATAAACCATCTATAAGGCAAAACCTGGTAAAGATTTTGCAAAAACTTTAAATCTGTGTAATCAGCTTGGTTTGCTTTCTGGACAGCTTAGAGCCAAGGGAAATGTTCCCGGCTTTTTTTTCCCGTCATATGTGACAAATGTCACTAAATCAGTAGACAGGGATTTAAGAGGTCACACCATAGACAACAATCTAGGCCCTATATCAGGAAGTAATTAAATGTTGGACTTGTAAACTCCCCACTTCCACCGCCCTTTTGGCTAAAGCTATATGGCAGGGGGTTTGGTTCCCTGGGAAAATGATAGAGCTCTCGAATAACTAAGATACACTTATTGTCCCTAATTACTACAAAAATTCCTCCTTGTCTCCAAGGGATATACAACTCATCCCCAGAACACCACCCTGCCTCGGTCATTCATTCACACTTCAAAAGAAACTATAATCAAAATGTAAACTGCTACTACATGTTTGGTCCTGCCTGCGAGTATTCGTTATCCCTTACTAGGCCTGCATAGCATTTCAAAATGTTAACACAACTATCCATAATAACTTCTCTAGAGGAATGCTAGACTTCTGTTTCCTTCATCCCATCCATCAAAATTTTATACTATTCACTCCAAATTTGCAGATAAGTATGGAAATAAGATTTCAATAAAAATGCTTTCCAATAAAATCTCCCGATCAAGTTGGAGGGCAACAGAATAACAAATTTGCCTGAGTTCCATAAAAAATCACAGGTGTTAACTACTTTCCAAGGTGCCACAGGAATGCGAACAAAGAAAACCTTAAAGGTGAAGAAAATGATTGATAGGTATGTTGGGTAATTGCTTGAAGTTAAACATGCTGGGAAGGTCAATGACAGCAGAAGGTCAATGTCTAACATATCACTCCAACAAAAATTAACATCTAAACCCATTCCTTTGTGGTCAGTTGGAGAACAAAAGCGAAATAGCAGTCCAATTTGATCTTCGAGTATGACAGAATGCCACCAAAGACTCTATACAAAGTTACTTGAGAAGGTTGATAGATGTAAGGTACAGGAGGGGCATGGTTGGTAGAAGCATTCTCATACTCCAATCACAATATTTTAGTTGGACAGAAACTAATAACTTGACAGTTAAGGCATAACGGGTCACAAAGAGAGAGAGAGAACCCTCTTATCCGATCCATCTCCTCCATTTTCAATTTGTGGAGACAAATCACACAATTTCTTCCTCCCAACACTCACTTAATAGAAACATCAAGCATGTCACAATCAAATTTTGTTCTAATATTTCTACCACATAACCTAGGAAACCAAACAGGTCAAATAAGTTCGAGAACAGAACCAAGAATAACAACTCGCTTGAACCTCACCTCGAAAAATATGGCGGAAACGCCACTCAATCCCATGCAAATCCTTAGCTATCAGCTCTTGGGTTGGAGGTTGGCGACCCATGTCCTATGGTCAAAAGAAAAATACTAAGTAAAGATTCTCAGAGAAATTTTTTAAGGAAGCAGGAACGAAGACTTAACAGTCAATATTCCTACAAAACAATCAGAGGCAAGACAACATAACAAAAGCTTGGGGTTGAAAAGTGGAAAAACTTACCAAGGGGGGAAGGCATTCATCTGCATGCCTTTTTAACACTGAGAACCCACCATGGGTACTTGTATCAGAAGCCGTTAGAGTCTTGCAGAAAGAATGTACATGAGCTCTTGCAGGGGGAGGCTGAACAGGCTCCTTTTCCAAACTAGAGTCATCTTGCTGAGAAGGAAAGGAAATACATTAAATGTTCCATAATTCTAGCTTAAAATTGTATTTCTGTCATCAACCTGATTGCAAAGCTAGAAGAATAAAAAAGAAAAAATTAATACCATCGCACAAAAAAAAAGTCAAATATAACACACTTTTCAGTAATTCATGCTCCCAATTCTGTCAATCAGTTACTTTCTATTATAATTGACAGGATCAATGTCTTGCCCATCTTTTCTTTTATGAACATAGAGTTTACTTGAAATTTATTAAATAGAAAATATAACACTCCAAAATAGCCATCAACTGAAGACAAATACTATGTGGCAATGAACATAGCAAATGTTCTACAGTAGTGCTTTGAAGAAAAGGAGAGATTAAAAAATAAACAGATAGAAGAACTTCAAACTCAGGGAGCAGAGTACCTTGGCTTCAGGGACCAATGTCACTTGAGCAAAAACCTCATCAGTGTCAGGTTCGGCCTAGAAATGAAAGCCACGTCACATAAGAATAAATTCATTCAATTATCACACCAAAATTGGAAATAGAAACTTATCAAAGGACACGGGAAACATGAATCAGAAGTTACTTTTAACTTAACGTTGATCACACGACAGAGGATTTTCCATGGGAGATCTTTATACACGGGCATCTGTTGATCAGCAACCTGATTGGTTGACGCCTCGACCTAAATTACATTCATAAAATTTTCACAACTAATCAGAAAAGTATGACTTTCATAAACCAGAAAACACGCAAAGGGAGAGAAAGGGGGGAGAGCAAACAGAGATAAAGGGATATAATAAGTACCTGTTCTATATGGCCTTGAGGAAAATAGAACACTCGTTCTCCAGTATGAGGCACAGTTACAAGAGGACCAGCACAAGCATGCCATAACTCCGTGTAAAGTGCATCCTCAGAACCTAAATCAAAAGTAAACGCAACAAGATCAGACCATTTCTTCTCAGATTAAGAGAAATCCGCAATGAAAAAAGTCCCCGGAGCATCAGCAACATTCTTACGAGTCATTCCAACATTACCACAAGGTGAAGAGAATCTCTCCGAGCCACCATTACCGCTGCTCCCTTTCAAGGGAACATCACAAGAAGCCATATCAGAAGTTTTTCACTACTGATCTCTCATCACCTTATCTCTGCCCCGATCTCTACAACAAACGCCGCTGAAAGAGATGTAGAAACCGCAATCTCAACACCTTCACACCTTGAAAAGCCTCAAAATCAAAACCAGAGCCACTTCAAAAACCCTAACTCTGAAACCAAAGCTCTGAGAATCCACACTGCGAAAGGTCTAGAAACAGCTTTCGCAACTCAATAGAGACCAAAACCTAGAATCCACGACAATCACAGATGAATCACAAGAAATCAAACCTCAAAACACTCCACAAACCCTCGCGTGTGGAACTCAACAGCTAACAAACCTCAAATCCACATGAGAAAGAGAAATAAACCCCAGATTTTGCTCAGGCGATCGTTCCACAACAAAATACCTGACCGTCCTTACAAAGATGGAGTCCTTCCCTCTAAACATTTCTCGCTTCTTTTCTCTCTCTCCTCTGAAACAAAGAGGACAAGCTGCCATAACCATTGTGCACAGTGGTCGACTGACTCACCCTAACCGCGGGTCAAATCTCTCGAGCAATCATTTCAACCGCAGTCAAGTCTTAACCAAGCCGTGACCGCCTTTTCGGGTCACCAACTGGCTGACGCAGGCTGCTATCCACCGGTTTAACCGGCTCATTCAACGGCGTTAATATTGCCGGCAGAGCTAAGGGGGCAATCAATTGACGGCGTTACGTTCAGCGTCACGGCGCCTTGGGCTTCGCGCTGTCGTGCCTTGAACAGGCAGCGGCTTCATTTCCCGTGGAAAAGGAGGCAAGTTAACTAACCGCGGTGAATCCATAACCCGCGGGTTGGGTTAACTCTCCGTTACGAGGCGCTTTAAAGTCGCACGTGTCATAGGCTTCCGTTACGTCGTAACGCATATCCGCACGTGTGAGTCACGCCCCAGGCGAGTTTCTTACGTGTGACGCCGGCGTCAATATGTGTCAAAACGCGACGTTTAGTTTTGGCACGTGTTTGGGCCTTTTTGTAACTGATAGCACTACTCTCTTTTCTTAAGCCTGCTTAAGGTCTTAATTTGCTCACACGGTCTTTTCTAAAATTAGTTTTTATACTTGAACGTTTTATAGAAAAAAAATGCCCACAAAATTGGTGCCATTTTTTTGGCAAGAAGTGGTGCCATTTTTGGCAAGAAGTTGTGAGAATAGACAAAAACTATTTTAAATTTTAAACATACATTTGGATATCATGCTATACTTTTCTTTCTATTTATTGGAAAAAATATAGTATGATGATATGATATTTATTATAAAAGCAGTTATTGAAAGATTGGAATGAACCATTTATAATTTAAAGTATATATTATGATATCATTTATTTTTTTACTATGAGATCACAATCATTTTTAGCCATTAGATATAAAATCTGATAAATGAAAGTATTTCACTACATTCGCTAAATTTTATTTTTGACTTTGTGTCGAAACAATGACACATCATCGATTACCCGATTTCAAATTTAATGGTCAATGATGATTCTGACATCTTTATATCAAAAGTAAATGGTATAACTTAATACATGTTTTTAATAAATAGAAACTAGAAAGATAAAAAGCAAGAGAAATGGGGTAATTATGGGGTTCTTCCCAGCTAAATGGCACACCTCCCAATTCAGATCCGACTTAGGAGATTTTGAGTTGCAATTCGTTATTGGGGAATTTTTCGAGATACACCTACCATTTAACAATTCTCCCTCGATATATTTTGCTAAATTTCAAAACCTGTTTTAGTGTTATTTGATGGGCCATTTGAAATTTGATGAAAACAATGATGGCAATTTGAAGTTAGATAAAATAGTACGAGTAAGATGCTATCTAGTTCAAATCATAAGTGTAGTTTGATAAATTCCCCATATTAATTTGTCAGGTAAAATGTATATTATGATGATATTACAAAGTCATCAGAATCGTCACCCTTCAATGGATATGTTTGAAAAGGGAGTGGCCCCCTCATAACATCAATTAGGTTGTAGTTGTCCATGGGAGTGTTATCACCATCCAATCCATTGATTGTAAAAAAAAATTAATATTTAGAAAATGAAAATTTTAACATTTTAGCTGTATCTTTTGATTTGATTTCAAAATATGTAGAAGAGCACTTGGCCTTGAGTCAGATTAGTTCCAAATAGGTAAAATATCGAAAAATCTTATAAATATTTAGACAAATTTATCTCTATATTTTTTATAAGCGAAAATATGAAGTAGAGGGTGTTTTTCTCTTAATTTAAATTAGGAATGGGGGTAGGAGGGAAATTAGGTGCATGGCAAAGTGCATGAAAGGGGCACGTTTTGCGCGTGAGTTAACAAGTTCAGGAACATTTCATACCTGCATTTATTGGCACAGAGGCCCGAAATTTCGTTTCAAAACTTCAGTCGATTCGGCCTTGAATTTCGGCTGAATTTATCTTCATATTAGGTGCACAAGGCAACGAAATTTCGTTTTAATATTTCATTATATATCCGTGTCGTAGCGCTTTTTGGCTGTCTTGCCGTCCCCACCTGAGGGACCATTTGCATTCACATTTTTTGGAGCCAAATATTTTCTAAATTTTGAAATTAACTATTGAAATGGGTGACAATTGCATTTATTATTATTTACAAAAAATAAAAAATAAAAAACTAAAAAGGTGCCATTTGTATAGCGCCCAAGCCCTAAATTATCGAAATAGGGTGCACCTTCACATAGTTCCAAAACATGTTGTTTCATATCAAAAATCTTTATGATAGCCTTAAAAATGACTTTCACCTCTAATTATAAAATTTAAAGTTAAAAAATAACTTAGATCGAGCAGATTTATGAACATTTAAAAATCTTAAAAATTGACAGTCTAGATAATGCACTACAAGATGGACTCTTTATAATACTTGAAATCTATTTTTTCTCACGTCCGTATATATTGATGACGAGCTGATCAAATTGAGGGAATTTTAGCATCGAAACAACATTTTCTAATGAATTTTTAAGTTGTGCTTTAATTTGTTTGTTTAGATCCTCACCCTCATATAAACTTTTTCCGAACTAAAAACATGTTTGAGATAAAACTATTGATGACGCCTTATCTAGTTGGTGGGACCCGCCACATGGACGGTTGAGATTAGTAATGATCCTGCTCCTAGATTACTAATAAGACAAAAAAAGCAACGCCCACCCAAACCACTCACTTTCTAATATCCAACGGTTGATATTTCCTAGACGCTACCTTGGTAGAAGTGGGAAACGCGTTGGGTTGACCCATGGACCCAGGGCACAAGTCTGGACCCAGACAGCGGACCCGATGGGTCAGGTTTGGGTCTACTCGAGCCATACTCGACCCTGGTCAGATCTGGATTTGGGTCCAACTTAAACCTTGGGTCGGTCGTGTTTGGGTTCAGTTATGGTTTGGATCCGGATCAAACGGAACTGACCTCCATTTAACTTGGACTTGACCGGGTATTGGGTTAACCTAAACCTAGTGAGGTCATGCCCGAGTCAAATCAGATTCGGACCCTGCCCGACCTATTTCGAGTCTTATACCTTAGTTTTCCTGTGTGAAACGTTTGCATTGCTCTTTGTGGGAGCATATTATATACTTCTTCCCTCGAGTAAATTACCGACTTAAGAGAATTGTTCTATTGTTAAATTTTGATTTCAGTTTGGAAACACCAAATGATGAGTACATCTCCAAATGCGAATTTGAGAGTTGAGTTTCTTAATACTCAGTCTGAACATCCTGCAGTGTTTGTTTACTACTAGGACATTATTTTTCTTATATACTTACAAAGTTTGCCCCTTAAGAGGGAGAGAGAAGGGCAGAGAGAGAGAGAGAAGGGGAGGGAGCATGTTGTCTCTGAGAGAGAGAAGGGCAGGGCCTGTTGCGAGAGAGATGTTAAAAGAACACCCGACCGTGTTAAAAAAACTCGACCAAGTAGTTAAAAAAACCACTTGAGTTTGAGGTCTACTCAAGTTGCTCATGTTGGGGGTTCAACCCCTTATGGTTGGACCCCCATAACCAGCCAAAACCCAGCTCACCCAAAAGGCGAGTCTAGGTAACCCAGTAGCTACCAGTTCAACTCGCCCGGGTATGTGAATACTGCAATAAATACATATGTGAAACCCAGGTGGGAACCCCGGTTGGGAACCGGGCAAAACCCAGGGGTCTTCCACCTAGACTGGTCACCCACTCCAAGCCGGCTTGCAAGTTTCTAAAAGTAGCTTCTTGCCGAAAGTTAGGTTCTTCATTCAAACTTCATCTATTTCAATATAAACAAGAATTTATCTCAAATGTTATATTCAATACAAAGCACCAAGTGGCTTAATGCTATATTAATACTCCATACATAACCCTTTGAAAAGCATCTTAAAAACCTTATACTACCAAAAATAAGAAAGGTTCGTGTCCCACGACATTGACAGTATAGAATTTATACTATTTTGCACCCTAATGGAAATGGTAAAGACACTAAATGAAGCCCGACTAGGTTATGTCATTTGGTTAGGGTAGGTGGAAGAATACCATTGTCATTTTATTTATTATTCTCAACGTTAAACGTGAGACTTTTCACTACCTATCAAAATTGTGCACATGTGATGTCGCTTTACAAAAATGTCAATATCATAGGTGCAAATATTCATTTGGAATCACCCTTTTTTTTAAGAGAAAAGTTTATATAGACCCGAGGCTCTAAACAATCAAATTAGAGCCTACCTCAAAAATTTAACTAGAAGAGATTGGTTTGATGGAAAAATATCCTTAAATTGATCATCTTGACATCAATATGCATGGACATGAGAAAAAATGGATTTCAAGTTTTAGAAATAGTGTATTTTGTAATGCATTTTTGGCCCGTCAATTTTCAATATTTTAAAGTTTTCACATATATGTCTATCTACACTATTTTTTATGCTTTAAACTTTATAAATAAAGATGAAAATATATTTTAAAGCTATCACAAATATTTTGGTGTCGAAACCACATTTCTCGACATTATTTGAAGGTACGCTCTAATTTGATTGTTTATAGCCTAGGATCTATACAAACCGCACCCTTTTTTTTAATGTTGCTTTGGTAACACCTTATCACTTCCCCTCTTAATTGGATGTCTACCTCTTTGATGATGACATTAATTTCATCCAAAATTAGGATTAGATGCCAAGGGATTCAATGCTCCCCTAAACCACTTAATTACACTAATCATATCTTGCTCTAGTAGCAAGTCCTATGGACTTTCTTCCAAAAACTAGAGTCTTTTTCAAAAATGGGATCTAGCTTCTACCTCATTGCAGTGCACCGGTGTTATTCCGATACTCTATACGGGCCCGGTATCATGTGTCGATACTTAAACATGTGAGAATAATAAAATGATACATAAAGTTGATGGTTGCCTATGGATGGGCTTCAACTTCAGATGGGGAGGGAGCAGTAAAATTTACCATCTGCCACTTTATTTTACATGTAATACAAAAGATAAACGATATTATATATTAAAATTTTATTATTTTAATCACAATAGTACTTGTACGATCA